TTTCTTACAAGTTGATCTTGCAAGTCCTATTGTTCGGACCTTGCAGTTGTTGAAGAAGCGTGACCTTCGAAGGAACAACAAAGCCAGCACGAGTGCAGTAGCAACATTGGTCTTGCGAAGATATACCGTGCAGAAATTCACACAAGTGTAATTGTTGGTTCATTATTCAACAACCAACTACATAGTGGATTTTGAGGACGTAGAAGGATTACCCCACCTTCGAACCTCGTTAAAGTTTGTGTGTGTCTCTCTTTTATCTTTACTCTTACTTGCAATTATATTAACTATGAAAACTAACCCATCCATATTGATTACTGCTCACTCTACCCACCAAATTCCGCACACAATCTAAAGTTCACAAGAACCCTAGATTAACACTTATTTTCACGTTTTCAAAAGAAACGAAAAAGATTTTAAATCTGTAACAAAGTCTATTCACCCCCCCCATCTAGACTTTGTATTTCACCACTTTGGGACCACCAATTGGTATCAGAGCCATTCTTCTCACTATCTATGTTTAGATTAGCGAGAAGCGATCATAATGGTGAACAATATGGATCACGGTTTGCCCAAGTTTTCTCTTCTAGGTTATGATGATTGGAAGATCATGATGGAAGCACATCTCTACGCTCTACATGACTGCATGTGGATGGTGCTTGAGGATGGACCCTTGAAAATCCAAATGGAGAATCCTGAGAGGAATCCAGAAACTCTAGATGTAGTCCAGTACATTCCAAAGCCCAAGGAAAAATGGGATGATAGAGATTGTAAAAAGCACAATCTGGACAACGTCGCCAAAGCAGCCATCTTCAAGACACTTGATCCCATCACCTTCTCCAAAATCAAGCATCTCAAGACTGCCATGGAGATATGGCAAGGTCTTGGGAAGGTATGTGAGGGATCAGAGGACCTGAGAAAGCAGAAGATAGAAGTCTTGCTTGAGAAGTTTAAAAGCTTCAAAATGCTTCCCGGAGAATCATTTGATATGTTGGATGAAAGATTCCACAAAATCTTGAACGATCTTGCCTCACTTAACCACGTTCTTTCTCCCAAAGAAAAGAATGTAAGGTTACTGAGATCACTTCCAACCGAGTGGTACACTAAGGCCACAGCCATGGAAGAAGGAAGAAACCTGGAAAACTACACTGTGTCCAAGGTCTCCTTGATGAGCTCAGAACCTATGAGCACGAGCTGAAGAAGAAGAAGGAAGAACAATTCACTCCCTTCCCCACGGCACTGATGACAACTCCAAAAGTCTTATCAAGTGAAGGGACATGCCCAAGGAACTGTGACACACCCTCCTCCAGCCAGCCGTCAAGCTCAAAAATGGAGAACTACGATGAGGAATTTGCCATGATGGTCAAGCAATTCCGGAAGTTCAAGAAGTTCTTCAAGAAGGCTGACTCAGTTAGAAGGCCGTCCAAGGGAAAGCCATAGGTAAGTGACTCTCCTCCTGAATCTTACTTATGCTATAACTTCAGGAAGCCTGGCCACTGGATGTCAGCATGCCCGTACCCAAAGGTGGAGAAGTACGGAGAAAGAGAAAGAAATGAGAAGAAAAAGAAGGCAATGGTTGCTGCTGAAAGTGACGAGTCATCCAGTTCAAGCTCGGATGAAGAAGCCATCGTCTGCATGGAGCTCAGAGTTGAAAAGTCCAACCATGAGGATAGGTGGACTATGTCAGAAGATGACACTCTCTGCCTAATGGCTAAAGATGATGCTGATCAAGAGGTAACTTCACAAACCTCCTGCTCATCTTCTTATGAAAGCATACCAACTTCTGAAAATCTTTTTGACCAGTTCAAAAAGATGATGGTAGATTTTGAGGAAATAAATCTCAAACATTCATCCTTAACAGAGGAGAACAAACTATTGAGTGAAGAGAATCTCAAGTTGACTGAAGGTCGGAAAAGTCAACTGAATGAGATCACTCAACTCAAGACTGAAAATGAATTTCTCTCTGAAAAGGTGAAATCCCTTAAGAAAGAGCTAGGGATACTTAAGTCCAAAGAAGCAGTGGATAAGCTTCTTGAAACGAAACAAAAGGGCCGTGAAGGACTTGGGTTTGACCCCTCTAGTTCCAAAAGGAAAGGGAGAACAACCTTCATCCCTCCTAAACCTACTGCCAAACCAAATAAGCAGAAAGGAAAGGAAAAGGAGAAACCAACAGAAGTTCCCAAAAAGCTAGTCCCTCCTAAGAACTATAGGAAGCTGGACAGACCTCAAAGAGGAAATAATTTCAGAAGAAAACCCTCTAACCCCCATTATACACGAGGCTATACTCATTATGGGGTAGACAGGAGTTTTCCAAGAAATTCTGAGTGGAGAACTATGCCAAGATATAGTCACCCTCCACCCCAGAAGCTATTTGTGCCACCTAACTATGCTTATAACCGACACAGACACACTATGCACAACCTAGACAAAATCATAGGTCTTATCAATCTAGGTTTGCTAGGAGGAAACAGGAAATTGCACCTCTTGCACGTAGGAAGTTTTATGCCTACAACTATGATTACAATCCCAACAAGTTTAGAGCTGCAAGGAAAATTCCTTGCAACTTCAAACTTGATGTAGGGACACACACCATTAACTATTCTGGACCCAAACTTAATTGGGTACCAAAATCTTCCTCCTCCTAATGCAGGAAGCTGCTAAGTACCCAGGTGTCTGGTACTTAGACAGTGGTTGTTCAAGACACATGACGGGTGATGCGAGCCTTTTGAGCAATCTAATTCCCTATGATGGTCCAAGAGTTACTTTTGGAGGAAGCAATGATTTCGGCCTTACTAAAGGGCTAGGAAATCTGGTGTACAAGGGACTAACCATCCAAGCTGTATCTTATGTTGAAGGTCTCAACTATAACCTTCTTAGCATAAGTCAATTTTGTGATAAAGGTTACTCCTTGGAATTCTGCAGGGACATGGCATCTCTCAAGAACATCTCCACAAATGAAGTCATTCTCACTGGGAAGAGAATCAGAAACATCTATGAAGTAATGTGGGACAATGTCAAGGAAGCATGTCTAATCAGCGAAAGTGACACTAACCTTCTATGGCTTTGGCATAAGAGGTTGAGTCATCTCAACTTCAAAACCCTCATCAAGCTGTCCAAAGAAGGGTTAGTAGAAGGTCTTCCCAAAGATGCATTCAGGAAGGAAAGCATTTGTGACGCTTGCCAAAAAGGAAAGCAAGTCAAGTCCACTTTCAAGGCAAAATCGGCACCCTCAACTACAAGGATATTAAGTCTTATTCATATGGACTTATTTGGCCCTGTCACACCAATAAGTCTAAGTGGAAAGAAATATGTCCTGGTGGTAGTTGATGATTACTCAATATACACGTGGACAATCTTCCTCAACAGCAAGAAGAAGACTTAAGGGAAACTCACCAACTGCATGAAGCTGATTCAAAACCAAGCAAGTCAGACCATTCAGAAGATCAGATCTGACAAAGGCACAGAATTCCTGAATGAAATCATCATTCACTGTTGTGAAGAAAACGGAATTCTTCATCAGACATTCGCAGCTAGGACACCTCAACAGAATGGTGTAGCTGAAAGAAGGAACAGAACCCTGAAGGAAGCAGTGAGAACCATGCTAGCAGAAGCTTCCTTACCTAATATATCATATTTCCATATTTTTGGGAGCAAGTGCTTTGTGTTAAACAACGGGAAGAATCATCTGAACACTTTTGATGAGAAATCAGATGAGGCCATCTTCCTAGGATATTCCATGGTAAGCAAGGCATTCCGAGTCTTCAACAAAAGAACCATGATCACTGAAGTGTCAATACATGTTATTTTTGATGAAAAACATGTGGTTGACAAACCATCAAAGCATGATCATGAGGTTCTGGATCTATCAGACAAGGATGAAGAAGTCAATGAAGGAGATAGAATGAAGCCCACGGAGTTCATTCCATTCAGAAGTCTGCCTCTGAAGACTTCACAAAGAAATCCGGATTCAGACAGTGCTGAGCCTTCCGGAAATTTTGGCCAACCTTCCAATATTCCGGATCTCTCAAACGGCGACAATTCCGGAAATGGCGACCCATGCCAATCCCTCCGGAAACACCAATAACCTCTGTTCTTCAACCAGAAGCTAAACTAGATCAACCAGTCAATCCCAATCAACACAATCTTCGTTGGTTAAGGGATCATCCTCCCCAACAGATCATTGGAGATATTCAATCTGGTGTTCGCACAAGGAGTGCCCAACAGAATCTAGAAGCCATGCTTGCCTGTTTCATCTCACAAGTAGAACCAAAGAATATTGAAGAAGCTCTAGCTGATTCTGACTGGATCAATGCAATGCAAGAAGAACTCAACCAATTTTCCAAAAATGACGTCTGGAAACTTGTTCCAAGACCTACTCATCAACATGTCATTGGGACAAAGTGGGTCTTCCGGAACAAGATGGATGAAAACGGCGTTGTTGTCAGAAACAAGGCCCGGTTAGTTGCAAAAGGATACTGTCAAGAAGAAGGTATAGATTTTGATGAAACGTTCGCTCCAGTTGCTAGACTTGAAGCTATAAGGCTGTTTCTAGCCTTTGCTGCTCATAAGGACTTCAAGGTCTATCAAATGGACGTCAAAAGCACATTTCTCAACGGAAACCTAGAGGAAGAAGTTTATGTGGAACAACCTCCAGGATTTGAGTTACACACTAAGGGAGATCAAGTATATAGACTCAAAAAGGCGCTATATGGACTCAAACAAGCACCAAGAGCTTGGTATGATACATTGTCTCAATTTCTCATAGACAATGGATTTACCAAAGGAGTAATTGACAAGACATTGTTCAAACTACAAGATGGAGAAGATCTCCTATTAGTTCAGATCTATGTGGAAGACATCATATTTGGCTCAACTAAGGAAGACCTATGCACTAAGTTCTCAACCCTCATGCAAGGAAAATTTGAGATGAGCATGATGGGGGAACTCAACTACTTCCTTGGCCTTCAAATCAAACAGAGAAGTGAAGGCACTCTCATCAACCAAGCCAAGTATACAAGGGATCTTATCAAGAAATTCAAGGTTGATCCGAAGTCATCCGTTTCTGTCCCCATGAGTACATCCACCAAGCTTGATATGGATGTAGATGGAAAGGATGTAGATCAAACTCTCTACAGAGGAATTGTCGGATCTCTACTTTACCTTACTGCAAGCCGTCCGGATATCTCATACGCAGTAGGTGTGTGTGCCAGATTCCAGTCAAAGCCAAAGGAAAGTCATCTAATAGCAGCTAAAAGAATTCTTAGATACCACAAAGGATCTCAGAACGTGGGTTTGTGGTATGCTAAGAGCAATTCATTTGAGTTAGTGGGATACTCAGATTCTGACTTTGCCGGATGCAAAGTTGACCGAAAAAGTACATCGGGTACTTGTCAATTCATTGGCGGAAATCTCGTTTCTTGGTTCAGTAAGAAACAAAACTCCATTTCTACATCAACAGCAGAAGCAGAGTACATTGCAGCTGGTAGTTGTTGTGCTCAAATTTTGTGGCTAAAGCAACAACTACTGGACTATGGAGTCAAGACAAAGGAAGTGACAATCTTTTGTGACAATCAAAGTGCCATAGCCATCTCTCAAAACCCAGTGCATCATTCTCGCACTAAGCACATTGATGTCAAGCATCACTTCATCAGAGATCATGTGGAAAAGAAAGATATCAAAATTGAGTACATCTCAACTGAAGATCAACTGCCGGATATCTTCACAAAACCACTAAGTGAAGCCAAGTTTTCCGATTTGCTTCACAAAATTGGTCTAATTCAATTAGACTGAGTGCGGTACACGTGGCGAACTACTTTCCACGTCTGTCAATATATTAGGTAGGCAAGTGGCCTTGGGAATAGTCAAAAACCCAATCGCCACTAGCCGCAAAGTCGCCTAAATTAAACCCAATCGCCACCACTCAGATCTCAACCGCCCACTCAAAAATTTTTCGTCGTCTTCTTCACGAAAAATCTCGAAGAACTCGCAAGAACCNGTTTCCAGTCATCAAGTCCACTGTTGGAGGTACAAAAGTGAAGCTTTCGCAAAAGAAATTGGGAGAAAAGCTTCGCCTTCCCAATTCTGGAGTTGAAGTTGGGAAATTTCCAGTCAAAAATCTGGACTGGAACATCATTGGAATCTCTGGGCAAGTTCCTTCTGGCCCAGCGAAGAAAGCAGATCTAAACAACGATTACAAGTTGGTTTTGGAACTGGTCATCGCTTGCCTCGAGTGTGGAAGTGGAGGTCATGCCGATGACATCACCCAGGAGAGAGCTTTCATCATCAACTCTCTCATTACCAAAACTAAGGTAAACTGGGCTGCACACTTTTTCAAATCCATTTCAAAACATCTAGGAAAGCACAATCAGAAGTATCTCTGTCAAGGTCTGTATATTGGACATATTTTGGAATCTATAGGCGCTGCAGTTAAAGGGAAAAAGTATGAAGCCAGATACTGGCTATACTACTTATCCTCCAAAGGAGAAAACAGAGCTAGTGCCTGTGCCACTACAGAAGAAAGCTCATCAAGCAATGTTCCACTCATCAATTTGGCAAAGACTGCCAAGAGAAAGCATGTGGTGTCTCCCTCTCCAAGTGTTGAAGCACCACAGAACCTTGCTTTGATCTTTTTGGAAGAGGAAGAAGAAGTCTCTGACCATGGAGAACTTCAAAGGAAGAAGAAGAGGAAGATCAACTCTCCATCAACATCTGGAAATGTCAATCCGGATGAGTTGAAGGAGAAGGAACCTGCTGAGGAAATCTCTGCCCAAAACCGGAGCCCTCAACAACTTGAAGAAGAAATTCCTCAAGTCCAAAGCCTTCCAACCTCATCACCTCAACCTCAAATAGATGATGCAGATAACCAATTCTGGCAGCTCTACTATGATTGGAAAGCCTGGAAAGTTGGAAATTCAGTAGAGCAACTGTTGAATTGGGACCAACAACTGAAGAATGAGAAGATCATTAAGAAGTGCTTAGGAATACCAGTCAACCACAACTGTGAACAAATTTTGGATGACTACTGGGTATCGCAAAGGAGCCATGAAGACTTGCATCTGGAATACCTGGCCAACACACCAGTTTCAGACTTTGAAGCAGATGATGAAGATCCTACAGTCTTCAAGCCAGTCTTCTCAAAAGACACAGAAGATCAAGTGGTTCTCACTTCTGAAGCACAAGGTGTTTTGGAAGCAGCAGCTGAAGATTTCCAAACACTTCCGGAAACCTCACATGCTTCTGAAATTGTTCTAACTGAAGTTGTAGAAGAGAAGGCAACCTCTCCCCTACTAGAACAGAACCACAAAACAGCAGAAGAAGAAGAATTTCAGCAACTGGGTCAATCTCAAGTTCTTGAAATTCTCACAACTGCATGTGAGATCTCCAATCCTACTGAAATTGAGATCCCGGAGAAGTCAGCAGAAATTCTGGAACAGTCAGCTCTTCCAGAAACAATGGAGCAAGCTGTTGAAGCGCAAAGGAATTCTGGAGAAGCTGAAAAGGAAACTCAAATGGCAGAACTAGAGGCCTCTCAAACTCCAGTAGCCATTTTTGAAGAACAGAATGCAGCTGAAGAAAGAGACTCCCTCTCTAGGGATATATCAAATTTTGCGCTTGATGAAGCAGAAGGAGAGTCTGAAAGAACACTGAAGGTTACTGATGAAGAAGATGTACAAGAAGATGCTGAATCTCTTCCTATGCAACTCTTCCAAAGAACTCCATCCTCTCATCAGGTAACCAATTTTCATTTCCATATCTCTTCCACCCCTACCCTTTCGGATATTGTACCGGAAATCTGGACAAAGAAGGTCCAAGGGCTGATTGAATCAGCCCTAGCATCTCAACATGCCTCCTTTAGGCAAGAGATAGAGCAAATGGAGGCCAAGTACACCAAGCTTATAGAGAAATCTAAAGAGAAGCACAACACAGATCTCAAGGAAATAAGCATATCAGTAGACAAGACTCTGGAGATAATCTCTCTATTGAGTAATACTGTGAGCAACACGATGGAAATATATGCCTCTGAAAGTCAACTTCAACTCAAAGAGATCAACAAAGTCAAAGAGCAAATAGCGAGTGTCACAGTTAGTCTACAAAAACAGATGTCCCTTCTCCAAATGGACATCAGATCAGCCCTAGCAGTAGCTTCTGCAAATCAGGTAGTGACCAAAGACTACTTGAAGGTGATCATTGACAATCAAAAGGAAGCATACAAGCTGTTCAGACTTATTGGCGCAAATTCTGGGAACCGCAAGATGGAAGTAATTCTCCAACAACACAGCCCATCTCCAATACCACAGCTCCCTATTGCAGTCAAAGAAGGAGAAGTATCTTATATTCCTTCTCATCTGAACATGACAAATCTAATCCTTGAAGCACAGCAAAGAAATCCGGAAAACCCAGCACAGCATCTATCTAGCTCAGGACTGGATGGAACAGAATTTATAGGTATAGTTGTTGACCACTTCTCAAATGACGCTCAATCAGAAGAGAGACGTGAAAATTTAAGGCGCATCAAAGAACTGTGTGGGAACATGCAGGGCCTCAGTGAGGTTGCCGGATCTTCAAAACGCAAGAGGAATTGAAGGTTCTTTTCATCAAACCAAGGGGAAAGTATGTGAAAACACTAATTTGTTTTGATGAAAACACCTTCTTGTTTAAACACTGCTTGATTGGTTTAAACATTGCTTCAATAGTTCTCTTAATTGTGCTTATTATGCTTGATTATGCTTATCTCAAGTATGATTTTGAGAAGTTTTTTTTTCTGAAGCGCATACATTCAGAGGGAATGTAATTCAGGGGGAACTTAACTAGTTTTTGGCTAACAATTGTTTTTGGCAATAAATTATCGATGAGCTCTAAGCAATGGAAGACGGATATCTCAGTTTTGGTACTAAAACTGGAAATCTCCGATTCAGGTACTTTACAAAATCTGCCTTCTTAAACTAAGCTTTAATCTTTAATTCATTTCCAACTAGCTCTAAAAGTACTGGTCCTTAGGATTTTTATAATGTACAGGACTTCGGAAAAATAGTACCACTTTTCTTTTAAAATTAAAATTCATAATTGTTTTGGTACTACCTCGTCCTATTTAGAAACTAGAACTATAGGGAATGAAAAAATGATAGTTTTATTTTGGGCCTTGAGAACCCAATAGGAATAATTTCCCTTTAGTACATAGCTTTCTTTTCTTTTTGGGCCACTCTTTTGGGCTTAGCCAAACTAAAATAGTTACGTTTCTCAAAACCAAACGAAACTGAGTTTCAAATTGGGACAGTTTCAATTCTTTGGAAGTCAGTAAAAGATTCCTTCAACTTTTCAGAATTCAACTTCTTGGAAGTTGAAACTCTTTTACTCTCACCGTTCCAACTACCCACTTAATGGAACCCGTGAACTTTCTCCTCCCCTATTTAAATCAAGACATTCCAATCCATTTCAATCACAAACAACTCTCTCAAAATGAAAGTCTTCAAGTTCACTGTCTGAGAAAAACACCAAGAAAATATCCTCAATGGAGAAATTTGTCTTTCTCACCCTCATAGATGGCAATGGAGAAAAGCCTAGTGAGAAGAAAAGTAGTTTAAAGTATATGGTGCAATTCTCGGCAGTAGAAAAAGTATATGGTGTAATTCTCGTATTTTTCAGGATTATACCATACACTTTCTCTGGAACAACACTCTCTCTATTTTCTTTCTTTTTATTTTTACCTTGATCTCTTTCCCTCCCTCTCTTTCTTTTTCTAAACTTTATTTTTTTGAGCACTCGCCACACTCTTCTTACAAGTTTTTTAAATGTTTTTGTGCTGCCTCTGATCCATTCTCCCAAGCATTTTTCAAAATCACTTTTTCAATTTGTTCTATTCTAAAACTCTTTTTCAAAATTTCTTTAAAAAAAAAAATTATTTTTGCCTTCAACTTTAAAAACCTTATTTTATCTTTTTCACAATCAATTCTCTTTTCCAAAACCTTTCTTTCTTGTCTTTCTACATTTTCTTTTTCTTTCGTTTTTGTTCTTGTTTTTGCTTTTTGAGAGATGTGTTGCTTCCAAGATCTTGAATATCCAATTTGGATATTAAAGATCTATCAAACGCAACGCCAACCGCTCCGCCAAGCAGAATCTGCTGAAGCTGAAAACGGTCAATGGCGGAAGATATCACAAAATCTCAAGACAAGACTTGGTTTAGGAATTGTTGTAATTTGAATTGTATCTGTTTAAGAGTTTTTGTTAACAAGCTGTATGTTATGAGAAACTAAAAGAAAGTTATAAAATTAGTTCTCAGTACAGCGACCGGAACTCTTAAACACTTGTTTGTCATCATCAAAAAGGGGGAAATTGTTGGGAAAAATATTATAGATTTTGATGATGATGTATTTAGAATGTAATAGGGACTTTAGGTCTTCCCCATTATTCAATGTAATTTTTCTTTTTAGAAATATTGTCAAAACCGAGTTCTTGAGATTTCCA